CTTTCCAATAAATATTTTTAAAGATCAAGTATTTGTAATGATTTTAGGGTATGTATTGTTATCTAGACTGCAAATATCTACAGTAACGTCATAATTCTTTTTAAAATTCACTTCCGGTCGTGTGATTTCCTGTCCTCAAAATGAGAATTTATCATAGCTAGATCTCGTAAATGGTAATAGATTAAGACATCAAACTTTTACAAATGGTAGATCTTGATGAGTTGACAAAACCAGTGGGAATAAGTCCGCCGTCACTTCCGGTCGTCACAAGAGTGCCTCAAGAAAGAAACGAAAATTTCAATTTTTCTTCATGGAACCCTTTTTGGCGTCACATTATTGCATCTTATTTGTTGTTTTGAAGTATGTCAGTCCCAACGGGGCAAAAACGACAACTTCTGGTTATAAGAGAAAATCTGCATAATTTGAATATTTTTCTTTCCAATAAATATTTTTATAGATAAAGTATTTGTAATGATTTTAGGGTATGTATTGTTATCTAGACTGCAAATATCTACAGTAACGTCTAATTCTTTTTAAAATTCACTTCCGGTCGTGTGATTTCCTGTCCTCAAAATGAGAATTTATCATAGCTAAATCTCGTAAATGGTAAGAGATTAAGACATCAAACTTTTACAAATGGTAGATCTTGAGGAGTTGACAGAACCAGTAGGAATAAGATTGTCCGCCGTCACTTCCGGTCGTCACAGGAAGTGATCAAAGAAATCGAAAATTCAACTTTTCTTTATGGAAACTTTTTTGCATCACATTATAGCATATTATTTGTTTTTTTGAAACATGTCTTTACCACCGGAAATAAAAACGGCAACTTCCGGTTATAAGAGAAAAATACCTATTATGAGTATTTTTCTTTCCCATAAATATTTTTTGTAGATAAATTATTATAGGAGTGATAGATCTTGATGAGTAGGCAAATTCATTTGGGTAAACATTGTCAGCAGTCGCTTCCGGTCGTCACAGAAGGTGAACAAATAAATAAAAAAATTTATTTTTTTATGGAATTTTTCTTAGTAATACATTATAGCATCTTATTTTTAATTATAAAATTTGCCAGTACCACTGGAAACAAAAACGACTACTTCCGGTTATGAGAGAAAAACAATAAAAATTTAATTATGTACTATACCATTAATATTTTTTTTTTTATAAAAAGAGCAGTTGAAATGATTTTAAGGCATGTTATTCAGACTGAAATGTCTATAGTAACCTCAAAAATCTCTTCAAAAATTTACCACCGGTCACGTGATTTCTTGTCCTCAAAGTGAGAAGATAACATTACGAGATCTCTTAAACTGTAACAGATCAAAACACCAAACTTTTATATGAATAATACACCAAGAAGATTGGGCAACAGATATAGGATAAAGTGCGTTCTCCGTCACTTCCGGTCGTCACAGAAAGTGATAAAAAATTGAAACTGATTTTTGTAAATGTTATTAGGACTAAAATTGTCTAACGTAACGTTGAGAATCAAATCTTGGTAAGTTACACCTACGGCCGTTTGTTTTCCTGAATCATTTAAAATATTTTATGCCTTTTTAAAATAGATAAAAGTTCATTCATGCAGATAAAGAGAGGAGAACGGAAGACCTTCTTTGTTGCTTTAGTGAAAATAGATTCTAGTTAAGAATTTATTTTTGTGTATATTCATTTAAAAGTAATCCGATGATATATTTTATGTTGATTGTAATTGTTTAACATGTGTTTTACTGGAACAACTTTAAGTAACTTGTGTATTTATATGCTCAGTAGGCTATAGACAGTAGAAAAAAATCCCAACAAAAACAGACGTTATCATGATAATGAAAACATATTTTAACTCAAAAATGAATAGACCCAGACAGACAGACAGTTTAGCCCCACAATAAAAGACATTAGATTCTAACAGTGACAGACAAAATAATTAGAAAACTTAGATTTAACAAAGGAAATGTAAGGGGGTAATGAGTAGACCCTGAAAGACAGACAGTTAAGCCCCACAATAAAAGACATTCAATTCCCAAAGTGACAGACAACATAATGGATCTAGTCTAAGGAATATAAGGGGGATTGAATAGAGCCAGAAAGACAGACAGTTTAGCCCCACAATAAAAGACATTCAATTCCCAAAGTGACAGACAACATAATAGATCTAGTCTAAGGAATATAAGGGGGATTGAATAGAGCCAGAAAGACAGACAGTTTAGCCCCACAATAAAAGACATTCAATTCCCAAAGTGACAGACAACATAATGGATCTAGTCTAAGGAATATAAGGGGGATTGAATAGAGCCAGAAAGACAGACAGTTTAGCCCCACAATAAAAGACATTCAATTCCCAAAGTGACAGACAACATAATAGATCTAGTCTAAGGAATATAAGGGGGAAATGAATAGAGCCAGAAAGACAAGACACTTTAGCCCCACAATAAAAGACATTCAATGCCCAAAGTGACAGACAACATAATAGATCTAGTCTAAGGAATATAAGGGGGATTAAATAGAGCCAAAAAGACAGACAGTTTAGCCCCACAATAAAAGACATTCAATTCCCAAAATGACAGACAACATAATAGATCTAGTCTAAGGAATATAAGGGGGATTGAATAGAGCCAGAAAGAAAGTTTAGCCCCACAATAAAAGACATTCAATTCCCAAAATGACAGACAACATAATAGATCTAGTCTAAGGAATATAAGGGGGATTGAATAGAGCCAGAAAGACAGACAGTTTAGTCCCACAATAAAAGACATTCAATTCCCAAAGTGACAAACAAAACAAAAAAGAAAACTTAATTAAATAAAAGGAATAGAATACCAAAATAAATGGATCCACAAGGATGGCTTGTTTGACCTCTCAATAAAAGATATAATTCCAATGTGACAGTCAACAGTACATAAGCCCACAATGGCTCTAACAGACCAAAAGTCCCACTGTGACAGATGGAATAAGCTCACAATGTCTTTGACAATAATCCCCATACTGATAGACAAAGAAACCCACTGTGACAGATGGAATAAGCTCACAATCTCAGACAATAATCCCCATACTGATAGACAAAGAAACCCACTGTGACAGACGGAATAAGCTCACAATGTCTTTGACAATAATCCCCATACTGATAGACAAAGAAACCCACTGTGACAGACGGAATAAGCTCACAATGTCTTTGACAATAATCCCCATACTGATAGACAAAGAAACCCACTGTGACAGATGGAATAAGCTCACAATGTCTTTGACAATAATCCCCATACTGATAGACAAACAAACCCACTGTGACAGACGGAATAAGCTCACAATGTCTTTGACAATATTAAAACCCCATACTGATAGACAAAGAAACCCAATGTGACAGACTGAATACAACCACAATATTAAATCCCCATACTGATAGACAAAAATGACCCCACTTTGGCAGACAGAATAAACCCACAATAGCTTTGACACTAAAGCATTTAATCAATGTTAAATAAAAGTCTACATGGCAAATAAGGGCTAAAAATCTTTCTATAAATTTTAGTGAAGATACTTGTTAAGTATATCAAAATTACAACTTTCCATAATCTTGACTCCTATAAAAGCCTACTCTCATAATAGGTTAAACTGAAATAAATCTTTGTTTAACATGTTTATTTGTGTGTTTGGATGACGCATGATGTGTTCAACACATCTGCACATGAGTACAAGAAGTCACACTTTAAGGTCACTTAGTGGTGACCTAAAAAATTTTTTTGGTAAGTTGGGATATGCAAGCAAATGACCAGTTTCAATTTCCATGGAGATAAGTGTAACACATTGAATTGAATTTGTAATTTGCAGAGATTGCCAGGGAATTTACATAAGTAGTGAAATGAAGTGAAGTTTTTTTTAACTTTGGTGATGAAAAATTTACTTAAAAATATTAATGTGATATGGCTTAAACAAATGTTTGTACTTTTTGTTGTATTTCCCGTTTTAATTTACAGAAAATTGAATATTTTTTTTAAAGAAAAAAGATGTTTTTTGAACTTCATCATTGTCAATCAATTTTGCAATAAATGTTTGCACACTTTAAAAATTCTTTTGAAACAGTAAGCTTTTTGAGGTGAAAGAAACAGTGAATTGATTTTCCTCTATCATGTCTATAACAAGAGATAAAATTTAATCATTTTAATGTATTGAATAAGAAACATCTGTAACCATTTTAGTGTTATTATTAAGAAAAATGATTTTAATGTAATTTCTTTGTTCTTTTCTTTTCTTTTCAAGAAACTGAAGATGCCATCTCAAACAAGGAGGAAGAGGAAAGGTAATAAGTTTTAGTTAAAATAAGTAAAATTTAGTTAATTGAAAACTAATAGCAAAGTGTTTTTTTTTATTATAATAGTGTATGAAAAATTAAATATTAATTTTGCCACCACCTATGGAGTATTTAGGATGATGCAAATACTTATTTGAGTAGAAATACCTTGCAAACAAACTTTCCCATATGGTCCTCCATAGTTTGATTGCAGATTTTAGATAGTTTATAATAAATGCATTTTAAAATTTTTTTTAGAAAATAGAAAGACTGAAGAAGTTACTTATGTAAAAGGTAAGTGTTGAAAATTATGAAATATTGATATGTCCTCATATTGAAGTTCTGTAAGCTACCAGGTAGTCATTTTGGAGTGACAGAAAGATAACACAAATTAAACTGAACTGATTTTAGCAAGACAGAATTTTGAAATACAAATTCAAGTTTTGCTTCCAACTTTTAACATGCACATAGTAAAATTTGTTTTAAATATTATGTGTCTACGCAAGTTCTCTACTACCTGTTATTCAGCAAAAGCACCACAAAGTATTAGATTTAGTTATGAGAAAACAATCATATTCTTTATGTAGGCAGAAAAACTCAAAGATACAGATTAATTATGTGGTGACCTTTTCTCTCAGACGATCATGATGGCTAAAGTATCCTTTTTTTGTTTAACAGACCAAATTGTATACTGTTTACTGGACGGGAATATGGTGGCCAGGTGCCGTGGAGAGTGTTTTGAAAAACGATGTGTACCAAATTTCCTTTTGGAAAGAGGAGGAAAGGTAAAGATTTTATTTGATTTAAAAGGATGCCAATTTTTTTCATATAAAATGTTTTTAATGACATTCTGTTTGATTTATAAAAAGGAATGTATTTTAAGCAAGATATATGATTTTAAGTACCAGTAAATCTTATCTATAATTATGTTAAGGTGTACAAAAATTTACTTTGTGTTGAAAATTCACTGCATCAGTAAGACTTTCATAAACTTCATATCTTTGTTAAATAGTTATATTCCTTCATGTACAAAAAAGTTTTTGTAAATGTGTATACCACATAATATGTAATTGTTTTTCACATCTGTAGGATTACATGTAACGGCCACAATCTCCGTGATTTTCAGTGTGACAAAGACACAGACTTGATTGCTTTAAGTTTAAGTAAATAAGTTTGGTTTAAATTAGTTCCTTTTTTGTTCAAAATGGTTTTTAGCTCACCTGAGCCGAAGGCTCAAGTGAGCTTTTCTGATCAAAATTTGTCCGTTGTCTGTCGTCGTCGTTGTCATTGTCGTTGTCATTGTCGTTGTTGTCGTCGTAAACTTTTCACATTTTCATCTTCTTCTCAAAAACCACTGGGCCAATTTCAACCAAACTTGCAACAAAGTATCCTTGGGTGAAGGGGATTGAAGTTTGTTCCAATAAAGGATCACGCCCTTTTCCAAGGGGAGATAATTATGAATTAGAGAAAATTTAATGGCATTTTTAAAAAATCTTCTTCTCAAGAACCACTGGGCCAGGAAAGATGAAACTCATGTGGAATCATCCTCAGGTACATGTAGTGTAGATTCAAGTTTGTACAAATCATGACTCCCGGGGGTAGGGTGGGGCCAAATTGGCCGACCCAAGTTTTACATAGGAATATATAGGAAAAATCTTTAAAAATCTTCTTCTCAAGAACCACTGGGCCAGGAAAGATGAAACTCATGTGGAATCATCCTCAGGTAGTGTGGATTCAAGTTTGTACAAATCATGACCCCCGGGGATAGGGTGGGGCCAAAATGGCGGATCAAAGTTTTACATAGGAATATATAGGAAAAATCTTTAAAAATCTTCTCAAGTACTACTGGGCCAGGAAAGATGGAACTCATGTGGGATCATCCTCAGGTAGTGAGATTCAAAATTGTTCAAATCATGACCCCCGGGGGTAGGGTGGGGCCAAAATGGCGGATCAAAGTTTTACATAGGAATATATAGGAAAATTCTTTAAAAATCTTCTTCTCAAGAACCACTGGGCCAGGAAAGATTGAACTCATGTGGAATCATCCTCAGGTAGTGTAGATTCAAGTTTGTTCAAATCATGACCCCCGGGGGTAGGGTGGAGCCAAAATGGCGGATCAAAGTTTTACATAGGAACATAAGGGAAACCTTTTAAAATCTTCTTTTCAAGTACTGCAAAGTTATGATTTGTGATATTTATATGGAATCATCCTCAGGTAGTGTAGATTCTAGTTTGTTCAAATGAGGAACGCCTGGAGGGGGGGAGTGGAGTAAATTCAAGCCTGATGTGCTCAGGTGAGCGCTGTGGCCCCTGGGCCTCTTGTTCATTATAGCTTAAGTCCAAGAAATGGAAATTTTTCTAAAAAAACTTGTTCATCAGTCAAACACAAGTTATTTTTATCTATAAAAAAATCTATGACGAATATTAAGGTTTTTTTTTCTTTTATAAATCAGGGCTCTCCAACGTTTGAAATTTTACTGTGTTGAAGATTTTACGCGAAGCACTAAAATTTCACTGTATTTTCACAATCAATTTCGCAACTTATATTCATTATAATTACAAAAGAATACATGAAGACACTTTCTAAAAAAAATAATCACTAATTCGTTTCACAAATGGTTTGGTTGTACATAATGATAAAATTAAAACGCATGCTCTGAAAAGCAGAGAAAGTTCTGGGTGATACAGTCGAACTACTTACCATTTTTGAAAGTAAATTTGCCTTGAATTATATCAGTTTTCTTGTCCAAATAACCAAATTACAAAAGAAAAAAAACTTTAGAATAGTGAAATACTATTAAGACTTCCTTAAAGATTAAAACTATTAAATGATTTTGGTACGATGTTTATGTTTGATGTGCGGTAAAATTTAATTCTAGAGCTGTGGCTCTAAAGAAAAGAAATGTTATTTTTAAAATCATACGACATATTTTAATGCGACTTCCAATTAACCGCTACACGGAAGTGGGAAAACAAAGCATGTGTCTGTCTCATTGGTAAAGTCAAGCAAAAGTCTAAGAGATAATTGTTATGCCAGGTGTAGCCTTAATTAAGCAGTTGTTAAGTGCTCTACCTTTTAGAATTAAAAAAACGGTAGAATTGTTTGATTCAAGTTTCAGTTAAAGAGAATTTATATGTTTGGATATTCTGATAATCGCTGATCTTACTTTGTTGGAATTTTTTTTACTGTGTCCCACGTGTAAAATTTGAATCGTTACTGTGTCCCGAGAAAATTTATTTTACTGTGTCGGGACCAACACAATAAAACAGCCCATGGAGAACCCTGATAAATTCTACTATCTCACAAGAAATAAATTCCACATCCATACAAAAAATGTTGAATTGTTAACATTAACCAGACTGTTTTTGTTTTCTACTAATACATGCTATGAGAGAAAGGGCAGGGTTGAACAGTTAAACTAAAATGTGACAGAGAATTAAATTATTATAATATATAATAATAATAATAATAAATACTTTATTTAAAGAAGGTAACCTGGTAAGTGCGTAGCACTATTCTTCCCCAGGGCCTTCTATATATATCAAATACAAAAATATACAGAATACAATTCATCATATATAATATTAATATGTTTAAGGAATTACAATCATAAGATTATGAATATAGTGTCCATGTATAGTTAATTAACAATCATAATATAATATACAATATCTAAACCTTATTGTCTTCAAATAATTGTGCGACAGCTGATGATGTAATTTTCTATATTACGCTGAAATGTTCGTAGAGATTGAGAGAGTCTAATGTGTTGGGGAAGTTTATTCCATAGATGTACACCAGAATACTGAAAAGATGTCTTGAATAAGTTTGTACGAAATTTCGGCAATCTTAGATCATAATTACTTTCAGATCGAAGATTATAAGAAGTAGAAGAATGAAATTCAAATAAATTACAAAGATATTGGGGAGTCGTTCCACTGAAAATTTTGTATAATAATATGTATTTGTATAGATCAACTAACTCATAAACTGTTAACCATCCAAGTTTCTCAAACAGTGGTTTAGAAGAAGAATCTGGACTTGCATCAAGAATAATCCTTGCTGCCCTTTTCTGTAATTTAAATAGTCTGTCCATGTCCTGTTTGGGGGCATTGCCCCAGATAGTCAAACAATAGTTAATAGATGGTAAAATATAAGCATTGTAATATAGTTTTCTGGTATGTAGAGGGAGAAATTTCTTAATCCTTCGAAGAGTAAATAACTTATAATTTATCGTTTTACAAACCGAATCAATATGATTTGCATACTGTAACTTATCATCAATATGTACACCAAGAATTTTTTCAGTTTCAACCATTTCAATTCTTTTGTCTGAGGCATAAATTTGTAAATTTGGATTATCTAATTTTGATTTTCTTTGCTGTGTTCCCATTAACATACATTTTGTTTTATCTACGTTTAAAACCATTTGATTTTGAGCACACCATTTCTCAATCTCACAAAGATCTGAATTTAGTGTATTTTCTAAACATCTTGCATTATTATTATTAGAATACAGAGTTACATCATCAGCAAACATATCAATATTTGAATTGTTTACATGTAACGGAAGGTCATTTATGTACAATAAAAATAAAAGTGGGCCCAAAATTGACCCTTGTGGCACTCCTGCTGTGACGGGTAGAATATTGGAGACACATGATCCAAATTTAACACACTGGGTCCTATCGTAAAGATATGATTTAAACCACTTTATAGCTGTTTGGTCAAATTTGTAATGGGTTAATTTCTCTAGAAGAATATCATGATTCACTAAATCAAATGCTTTACTAAAATCTATAAATGTAATACCGATTAGTTCACCACGATCCATTGCAGTGAGCCAACTTTCTGTTAGTTTTGTAAGTGAAGTTTGACAGGATGGAGTTCCCTAAACCCCGACTGGGATTGTGTTAGTAGATCAAATTCATTAGTGAAATTTTTTATAAGCTTAGCTACATGTTTTTCTATCAATTTAGATATAGTTGGTAGAATAGAAATAGGACGATAATTATTCGGGTCAGCTTTGTCACCTTTCTTAAAAATAGGTGTTACTTTGGCTTGTTTTAAATTTGTCGGGAAAATACCACTTACTATGCTAGCGTTAATAAGATGAGTTATAGGTTTACATATATATTTAGATGTGACTTTCAGAAGACGCGGCCCAATAAAGTCAATGCCAGCTGATTTATTGATATTTAGAGAATTTAACATGTTAAAAACTTCACTTTCTTCAATTTGTTGAATACTAAACAAGGTTTCCTCATCAAGCTTAGACCTAACAAAATTACATAATATATTAGGATCATAATCATGTTTTGGCATATCCAAAAGAAGCTTGTTAGAGACATCCGTAAAGTGGTTATTAAAAGTATTTGCAATATCCTGCAAATTGTCAACAATTTCCCCATTAGAAGACACATGAGATGGAGTTGTATTCTTAAGATTACATGTTAATTGATTAAGATAGTTCCACATTTCTTTCGGATTTGAACTATGTTCAATCGCTGTTTTATAGTAAGAAGATTTTGATTTGTTTATAAGAACGCTAACTTTGTTTCGATAAATTCTATAGTTCTCCATGTCTCCTTCTTTGTGGTAAAAGTCCCGTAAATGTCTAGCATTGTTTATTTCTTGTGTCATCCATTTAGGACGGATTTCACTCTTTACTCGTTTTGTTTTAACCTGTGCATGCTGGTCAAGTACGCTATTAAATAATTCATAGAATTCAGTTAGTATTTCATTAGGGTCATGCATCTGGAGGAGATTGTTAAATTCTACATTTTTTAAGTCTTGGAGGAATTTATTTTCATCAAACTTTTTGAAGTCTCTATACTGGATTTCTATGTGTTTTCCTTTTTGCGGCATGCATTTTGTTTTTCTAGTGGCACATATTGGGTAGTGATCAGAGATGGCTATAAAAGGTATATTTACTTCACACATGTTATCTGGTTTATTGGTGTAAAAGTGATCTATTAGGGTACTTGAGGTATTAGTTACTCTGGTTGGTGCTGTAATTAATTGTGAAAAACCATACTCTTCCATAGCATATGTCCAACTTTGTGGGGGTTCTTTGAATAAGTCTACATTAAAGTCACCTGTTAAGATAATTTCTGCATCGTCACAGCAGGAGGCACAGTTAATCTCTCTAGCCAGGTCCTCTGCCCAGCAGGAGGGAGCAGATGGTGGACGATATGCTGAACAGTAATAAATTGGTTTAGAATTTTTAATCTTTAATTCCAGCCAAATTGTTTCAATATTACTGATTTCAAAATCAGGCCTACGTTTATATCTTATATTATTAGAAATGTAGACAATAATTCCACCACCTGCTCTCAGAATGCGATCTTTTCTTTCCATATCAAAACCCTCAATATACAATTCAGAATCAGTGACTTGATCATTCAAAAAGGTTTCACAAAGTCCTAAAATATTTACAGTTTGTTTGTCATGAAGTAATAGTTTAATTTCTTCAATTTTAGGCAATAAGTGGCATATGTTTAGATTTCCAAATCTTAGACCTTTTTTCACCAAACCAAACCCATTATTGCTCGGTACATGTTGTACATGTATATTCTCATTTTTAGATATAGTATGATTAGCAGATTATGAAACCTTCTTGGTATGAAATCTATGAGTATTCTTGTCTGGTTTTGAGAATTTAGAAGTATTTGGTGAAGTAATTAAATTTTTTGAATTTGTTACAAGATCTAGAGAAAAATATTCACATTGTTTGCATGAACAGTGGATCTTATTACATTCTGAACATAATCTACTAAGAGTCGAATAAACATTGTTGTCAATAGGAATCGTTTGGGAACTATGGTCGGCTACACATTCGTTGCCAGTTTCCTAGTGTCCATTCGGACAAAGCTTGGTTTTATGACCTAGTTCCCCACAATTCCAGCAGTCCAACTTTCTTCCATGTCTGCAGTGTCGTGATATGTGTCCACTTTCCCCACAGAAATAACAGAAGGCTGGACGGCGGAAGGAAGTACTGCCAAGTATTTCCGATTCTTCACCATTCGTACGCACGTTTCCGACTTTGAGGATACTCACGTATTGATGGAAAATTTTCAGCAGGTCTGCTGTACCTCTGTCTGACAGATGAATGTTGTCCTTCCAATAATACTCTTGTTTGGGATTTCCACAACCAAAGAATTTAGAAGTTGGAATCACTGTACCACCATACATTTCACATACACTTTTAATAATTCCATTAACTTCTCTGGTGTTTGTATCACGCCTTGGTAATACTTCCGAGATAAATACACTGATACTAGAATTCCGATTTCTGAGATCTGTGATTACTTCTGCGAAATCATTTTCTATTGCCTCTGGGTCTCGTCGTCTAGATGCATCATTTCCGCCAGCCAAGATGATTACACTACGATATGAAGAAACATCCATTTTTGAGAGCTTGGACCGTATATGGGAGATGTTTGCCCCGCGATTTGTGTTGACCTGCACAGTTGAACACAATCCTCTGGTGCGGATCCTTTGTAGTATGGAACTTCCTATGATGAGGACGGATTTATCCATTGGGGTCTTTCTAGGTTGAATTGTTCCATGTTTGGTGTTTGAATCTGGCGAGGTAGGAAAACTCCTAGTATGAGCTTCACTGGCATCTGTCATGGTACTACTGGATATTGTAGGAGCCTTAAGGGTGCATTGGGTATGTCTAGATACACCAGGTGGAATGTGAAAGAGTCCGTCTGTTGATGTCTCCTTTTGTTTTGTCCTATTAGGAGTTGTTTGGGTAGCTCTTGAAACAAGCGATGTGACATTTTTTGACCCATTTAGTTGCTGTTTTAGGTCACTGACTTCTTGTGACAAAAGCTTGACGGTATCAGACAATTCCTGAATAAGTTTGGCACTGCTAATACACTGATGACAATTCTGTGATGTCTTACCCTTAGGGGTGGAGGTGCATTGAGGAGATGTTTCATCTAGAGTCTTACAATTTGTTTCCAAATTTACATCCAATTTATTCAAGTCCGTGAGGAACTCCTGATACCAAGAAAAATACGATTCCCCTTGGATATGTAGAGAGCTTGTTGTCTCGTAGATGGTAACAGTGACAGTTTTATCCTGTGACTTATAAATAGATCCATGTCGCCTTTCATTGCTGTCTTTGAATAAAAGGAGTTTCTTCTCCAACAGATCTAAAATGATGGGGTACTTGTCGCCATCGAAAGTAATTGTAACACTTTCCTGATTTTCCTGTACTTGCAAGAAATTTGGCACATCATTTACACTAAGTCCCACAGATTCCGTTGGCAGATCATTAGTTAATATAAATGATCTTGAAAATCCGGTAAATGAGTCCAAAAGTGACTTGAAAAGATTAGAATTATCACTCAGACTCATTATTATTCCATTGTTAAGCTAAGTAGAGATAAGATCTTCAGGAGCTGTAAAAAACACGTCTGGTCACCTTGACTGCTTATCTATCTGTGGTGTATTATAAATGTTCAAGACCATATAACCAAACAATTTTATTTTTTTCAGGAATCAGGCAACTAAATTTATGTGTTTTCAAACATTAATCATGTCTTGGCAATGTGTTTAATTAAATTAATAATTCGAAATACAAATTTGTCCTACCATGTCTCTATCAGATGGAGCAAAACAAATGTTCAATCTAATTCTCCCCGAAGAATGATAGATGAATGAAATTACTAGAGAGAAACAAAGCAATAAGAGTTGTTAATGACAGATAATTTATGTTTTACAGGTTCTAAAATTGCAGAAAAATGTTAAACATTAATGAAAGCTCAGGACCCTTGTATTTTCTTAAAGTATTTTTACTAACTTTGCAAATGAACAAACTTCATTTTAATAGTTAAAATTAGAAATACAATTACTCACATATTGTACAGCAAGAAATTGAATGCACCATTACTAATTTCAGAAAAAATAAAGAAGCAGGCTGATCTGAAATATAAATATATGGAAGACGTAGAATATGCTAAATCTTTGAGCAAAAACAAATTGGCACCACCCCACACCTTGAGTTTGCAGAACCCTCCAGCTTCATGTGAAGAGGTGCCTACCACAAGTGATAAGCAAGGACAAGAGAGGGTACCACCCCACACCTTGAGTACACAGAGCGGTCCACCTTCATTGGAAGAAGAGCCTACCACAAGTGATAAGTCGGGACAAGTGAAGGCACAACCCCACACCTTGAATTTGCAGAACCCTCCAGCTTCATGTGAAGAGGTGCCTACCACAAGTGATAAGCAAGGACAAGAGAGGGTACCACCCCACACCTTGAGTTTACAGAGCCCTTTAGCTTAACA